TCATGCCGATCTTTAATGTATCCGACATGGTGTATGTTATAAGCAGATTTTTAAAAGATATGTCAAGAACTTTGAGGGTAAAAAACAATTTTGGAATACAGCGTAGATAATGTGTTAACGAATCGAACAAACCAGAAGTACATTTTTATTGTGCGTTTGAATTTATATTGGAATTACTAATTGATTATCATTATTACATTTCTTATGCGCTTAATGATTGACGACTATATAAATGTCATATTCGAGTCATCAATCACGGGTTTTTAAGCGTAAAATTATTTTGGGTCCTTATTTGTAATAATTTTCAAATATCGGGCCTCTATCTGTAATCATTTTTATTTTGGGCCCTTATTTGTAATTATTTTCAAATTTGGGCCCTTATTTGTAATTTCCCCTATTTTTTAAGTAACCTTACATATAGAGATCACTATGATTTACATGTTCGTGATCTCTATATATAAGGTTACTTAAAAATAAGGACCGTGTATAGATCACCCGGGTATATTGCGTATCACCGCTTAAACGTTAACCGATTTTCAATTCCGATCTCTAGTGAACCCCATAGGAAGACTTTCGTATGATTAGCTGTTTAAATCAATTTAAATTTTACATTATTTATACAGTTTAAAGTACTTTTTTAAAAAAAAAATAAAACTACAAAGAATAAACAAAAAAGAAGTATGTAGAAAGTTTTATTAGGGTTGTAGGACTCCAGTATTAAAAATAATCAAAATCATTTCTGGCTTTAGAGAAGTTAGCATGGTAATAACCTAATTCTATCTATCTTTAAGAAGTCGCTATTATGCTAAAACCAAAAATGATTTTGATTATTTTTAATGCTGGAGTCCTACAACCCCAATAAAGCTTTATATATACTTCTTTTTTGTTTATTCTTCGTAGTTTTATTTTTAAAAAGTACTTTAAACTGTATAAATAATGTAAAATTAAATTGATTTAAACAGCCAATCATACGAAAGTCTTCCTATGGTAGTGAGCCTAAGTTCTGCAGTTGGTGTAACAGATATCAAATGCCACAAACTTTTTATAACGCTTCTAGCTTTCAGTAAAATTTTAACTTCCGAGCATTTTTAAAAATTAATTTAAACCAAGTTTTTGATATACTTTCGACTTTTATCATGACTTTCAGCGGTATTTTGACTTTCGTTAACATTTCCAGTAAATTAAATTCTGTTCGAAAATCCTTTCTGTAATCTAAAGCACCGGTAAAAAAAAAAAAAATTAAAATCAAACAACTAAACACAAGGATTAGATGAAATCTCTCACCATCACGATGTCATATCTTAGCTTTATGCTTTACTGCATTGTAATAGTAATTACGACACCACTGTACATACATACCAATGCATATCTCTCCTACTTAATAATTAAATCACACAAAGTTACAAACCACAAAATGTAACACTAACAAAAATAAGATTAGAGATTTCATATGTAATAACTGATTTTGATATTTTTATTTATTGAATTTTTAGCAAAAAAATGTAGAAACAAAGACGAGTGGATCAAAAAGAATTGAAATATGCAATATGCAGATTAAAAAATATGATGAAAATTAAAAAAAAAGTTATTCGTAGAAAATGTGTCAAAAAGTAGAGACAAAAATGAGCAGTTCAAAAGATATTGAAAATATGCCATATGCAAATTAAAAAATAAAAATGTGCTCGCAAAAATGCAAATAAATTAGAAATTATGCTTGCAAAAAAATGTAAATTTATAAATGGGAAAAATGTGAAAAAGATGTGTGTATACAAAAAATAAAAGTAAAAAATGTTCAAAATACTTATGTTAAAAACCAAAAATATATATGTTAGAATGGGATCTAAGAAATATGAATGTTAGGCAAAACAAAATGGCCGAGTTTAAGTAGTAAGGAATCAAAAAAAAACATAGTGAAAGAAATAATTACATTGCATTATAATGAAAGTCTATATATATATATACAGGATTATTTACACAAGAAGGTAGATAATCAGGATAACGAAGACTCTATCTATATTGAATGTTTATACGAAAAAAAAGAAAATGAAATTTTGTCTATGGAATAAAGGATGAAAATGAATATATTGTATATTGAAAAAAAAAACAATGCTCCCGATATTGAATAAAAAGAAGTTATTAAATAAATAAAGTTCTCTGGTCAGAGCAAAAAGAAAGCTATTATACCGTTATTTTATCGTCCCAAGACGATATTTAAGGTAATTTAATATTAGTTGCGTAAAATATCGAAACAAACATATTCATCCATATTAGCATGGTAGTCTATTAAAAAAAAAAAAATTGCAAAAAATGCATATCTCAGTTTCTGTATTGCTCTTTAAAATTCATAAAATTCATGAAATTCATAATAATAAATAAAAAACTAGTTATCGGAAACCGATTCAAGACCGAAGCAGGTATAAATTACAGAAACGATAAGCACAATTAGGATGGAAGTGATTTTAATGCACGCTTGAAAATTATGTTTGGAAAGGCATGAACAGTGTGTGATTGTTTCGATAAAATTGGTTTCCAAAATCTTTGGTGGGACATAAATTTCAATTATTTAAGCATGTGTTCTCTGGACAATTAATTATCAATCAATTGAATTATCAAAACGTGTCATCTCTTTCAACAGAATTTGTTCCATTATGAAACTGGTTGAATGTTTTTTCAGAATTAACTAATGGCATAGCCTGGGAATTCGTGGTAGAATTTGTAAGAGATGTTGAATTCACCATAGAGAAATTGAGAAGAGGTGGAACCAATTCAAGCGATGGCATTGATGTGACATGAGGATCTGTGGTGAAATTGGCATGAGGTGTTGCATCACCCAAAAATGGCATTGATATGAAATTGACAAGAGGTGATGTTGATGTGGTTTGAAAATCCATAGAGAAATTGATAAGAGGCGAACCCAATTTAAGCGATGGCATTGACGTGGCATGAGGAATAAAAGGTGATAATAATGTTGACATAGCCTGAGAATCTGCAGTGATGAGAGGTGACGCGTTATCAAATAATGGCATTGGAATGGGAGATGTTAAGTCTGCAAAATTATGTGGGGTTATTTCTGGGAATTGTAAAAAGGACGAGTTTTTTTGCTCGTAGTCTGAATACATTGAGGTCACACAACTTGAAGAACACGGAGTATTTGGATTAGAAACGTTCCTATGCAAGCCAACACCAAATTTGTGGTTTATGACTTCTCGTCTCCTTAGTCGATTTTTTTGACTTGGCGTTTTAAAAAAATTTTGCATATTTATTACCGAAGAATTTTCGACCAAAGATTTGCTTGGAAAACTTTCTTGGGTTGAATCGGTAAACATTGGGTCATTGTTTAACTGCATATTATTTATTCCTGAAGAGTTTTCAACTAAATTTCTGTTTTGCAGATTGGTCATTAGAATTCTCAACAAATCTTCTGCAAAGTATAATTCATCATTGCTCGAAGAATTTATATTCAAATTTCCGGTTTGGATTAAATTGAGTATTGTCAAAATTAAATTGAGCATTGTCAAAATTAAATTGAGTAATGGCTGTTCGTTACTTGCTGCTAAATAATTTTCAAATAAATTCCTGATCGACAGAGTTTTTTGAATTAGGGCAAGTAAAGTTAGACCATTCCCATTTAAATTTGTTCTATCTTTAAATGGTGTTCTAGAATTTTTTTCTTTAGGTCCTCTCTTTTTTTGTGGGTCAGAAATACACTTGAGATTCTGTTCAATACATCGCTTGCATTGATCACCACTTAAATAGACGCATTTGGCTTTTCTCTGTCTACAAACATTGCAAGATGCAGCATTGTTAGTTCTTTTATTATTGGAAATAGGTTGTTTATCGTTCGGGTTCTCGAAACTGTCGATAGATGAATTTGGGACCATTTTGGATGAAAATAAGGTTATGAAATAATGTGTGCTAATATATCCTCCTAGATTTGTTTAACTGTGCTATTCACTATATTAGATAAAACGTTCCAAAAAATTATTCAATGAGAATTCTTACTATATAAAATCTCGTTTTTGAATTTAAGCAAGGATGGACAAGTGAAATGGGTTTTTATGGTTTTTTTTTGTTATTATCGGAAAAAATTTGACTTGTCGAATGTAATAGGTGTAACTATATTCAAGCGAATTCGCATTTCCTTTGTTTATTTTTTCTTTCTTTTTTTTATTTATTATCATTCGAAATTTTTTTATGGCTCTTTTATATGATGATCATTTAATACGAAAAGGGGGATCGTCTAAAGCCAGGTAATTTATATGCCTCACGTGACTTTTACTTTACTACATCCCCGAAAAGGAAAATTAACCCTCGGAAAACGTTATAACCGCGTAAGCCCGAACTATGGAAAACATCATTCATTTCTAGTCGTTAACGTCTTAATCGGTATTGGCCAATAGAATATTTTGGCTCGCGAGTAGAGCAATAGAGAATTTATATTTCAATTAATTCGTAATTATTATTAAATATGTTAATAGATTAAAAGATTAAATTTACTGTATATCTATAAAATAATTTAATATAATTATTAAATATAAAAAATTTATAATAGAACAATAGAATGCTGACGCTGATTCTACGTACCCTAAATTTCTAATTTATGTTAGTTTTATTTTAAGTTGCATTGTTATTTTAATCAATTATTAATTGCCATGTGCCATTTCTTAAGTTAATTTTTACCGATTATTAATTGCCATGCATCATTTCTTAACGTTAAAATTTACCGATTATTAATTGCCATGCGTCATTTCCTAAGATTAATTGCCATGTGCCATTGCTTAATATTTACTGACTAGCTCTTAGACCCGGGCGATGCTCCGGGGCTAGGTCTAAGTGTTTTTAATCTCAAATTCAATAGTTTTTTAAATTTCAAAATATGTACTTATTTATTTTAATAAATAATATAA